TTCCTGCTGTCCTTCCAAATTATTTCACTTGTACGAAAGCTATGGAACAGCAGTAAAGAGGAGGAGGTGGAGAACTGCAGATGAGACAGGGAGTGTCTTTGTGACAGCCCGTGACCCCACATTTACACTGTGCAATTCCAACCTGTTGATCGCTGATAACACTACATTAAAAGTATTACCACAAATATCCTGAGGCAGTGTCTCGAGAATTGATCGAGAAACAAGGTCATACTTAAAACAAAGCTCTGGTTCTGACGCACGACAACAAAAGCCAGGAAACACAATGTTAAGAAGGGAGTGTCAATCTTGACTTTGCATTTCCTGACCTCTGCTGCTGAGTGCCTCTGCCCGACAGCCTTCTGCGGAACTTTTCACCAAGTATCTGTAACATAGTTATGTCAACTCAGACACTGTACAAAGAACATCTCCAAGTTCAGCCAGCTGAAAAGCTTAAGAATTTTTGGAGGCTGGAATACTTATGCATTTGGACAGGATAAGCTGAACACTAGGAGGGGAACTAATGGATTAATCACAATGTAGTGTACATAATGAGAAGGGGTTGGCTGCTGCTGCCAAGTTGAGCAATGACTATTGCGTTGCACTAAATAACAGCTTTTTAAAGACAGCAAAAGTTAAAGAGGTTCACCAGAAGCTACCTCATTTTTAGGTGATGGTTAATTTTGCTCTAAGCAAAATGCTTGTTAGAAAAGATTATTTTTTAAAATAAACTAGACAAAGTTAATAGAAAAGGCATCATGCAAAATGGGTTTTAAAGAACACTAAGTTAATGCAGTTTAGAGATAACTAATGCATGTTTAAAAGTATTAAATTATGTCTCTTTACCTGCTGAAACAAGAACATATATTAAAACAAATGCATCATTTAAAACAAAAAGTGGCAAGTTAGAAACCAATACTACCAACTAAAGCTGATTTAAAATCAAAACATGACATGAGAGAGTATACTTCTGTCTTTATATGATCTTCCCACACCTGTGTCAAATACACTTACAAAGCCCTTGAAGTTACTTTCCAATTGGCGCTGAGTATTTTAAGTTCAGTGAAATGGTTCTGAAGAAACCATTTAGAGCTTAGTGTCCAGCTACAAGGATCTTACCAGATATGAAACACATACACAGTTAGTAATATATCCCTGCTAAGGGAAAATGCAAGCTCCATTGAGAATATGAACCCATGTTAATAACAGACTAACAGCTGAACACATGGGTTTCTGATCCATTAATGAGACTGTGGTGCCATTTCATCACACAGAAAATTACAGTATTGTTGGTGTACAGTTTCAGAGCTATAAAACTGTAGCAACAGAATACAGTACAGATGAGGGATTCTTGAGCTAAAAGTGGCTTCTTTTATTTGGCTGCAATTAAATGATGTCTGAATAAAATGCTCACCATCAACTGGTTTCAAGTTCTGCAAGATGCAATGCTCAAAAACAATAACACCACATTAAAGGAGCAGGTAATAAAAATATCCCTGAAAGGTTACTTCCCACAATAAAGAGACAGAAAGATTTGTTTGCATCTTTTCTTTCTAAAAGCAAAGCAGTAATTAAACTATTCCTGAAGTCAAGATTAACGCTGTTCTATACTCTTCTTGACAAATCCCATAAAATGTTTTAATATCCAGTAGTCAGCCCTATAAAAGAATAGCCTCCAGTTCCCCAAGTGAATTGCCAACTGTTGTAGAGCAAGAATTAAGAGGGGAAAAAATACATCTATTAAAATAAGTAAAGACAGAGCTTAATTTTTAGAAGCTACAAGTATTTCAACAATCCTACCTAATTTTTATTGACTGGATTTATAAAGACTACACCTTACTTGCAGAGAAAACAATAAAGATTAAAATATACCACATACATTTTTATGTACTTTAACCATATGAAAAGTGAAGCCCTATTTCCCTTCAGCTAGTCTTTCAGTTTGCACAGTGCAGCTCAAACCTGTAATTCTTTCCAAACCAAGAGAAAGCCCACCAAAATAACTAAGTACTGTGAAGGCAAGAGACTATCAGAAGAAAAAACTGTTTTCTTATCACATTCCTTGTATGCTGAAACATCACCCAGTGTTTGGCTTCAGCTAAATTAAGAGAGCATATTGTACAGAAAAGAGCTTTCAGCAATAGTGGTGTCCTAAAGAAGTGCCCCTGGCTCTAAACCTACATGTTGAAGGTGAGGGGCAGGGCTCGAATTGCAATTGCTCCTTGGATCTGATGGAGTCCAGCAACTAAAGCACATAAAGTAGTTTCAGTAATCAGAATCTTCCTCTTGGGGACCAAAGAGAATTTCACCTCTACTTCTCAACTTCCAGCACTGACAAAGGAGACAATATAAATAGCAATCATAAGAGATGTGTGCCTGTGTCCAGTTTACATATAGTCATCAAAAACTTCAACTAGTAGAAGAAATCAAAATCAACACAAGAAAAAAATTTTAATTTAAGAGAATGGGTAAATTCACACTACCCACAACTTAGAATAATGACCTAGCACAGAATAGGGAACTGAAACAATTTATGTCCAGAGAATGCACTGTAGAACTTAGATACACAAGTCTGACATTTGAATCAATAATTCAAGTGATCAAGAATCACAATCCTGGAACTATCTGGATTCCAGAAGAAATTGCATGTTATGCTTTTACTGTATCTCATTAATTATAAGCTTTAGCTACACTTAACTGGCTTGTGGACTTGTAAGTTTTTTTTATAAACTAGAAAACAGCTACTTCACAGCATAGGTCTCCCAGTGGAGAGAGTAAGAGAAGTTGCATAAAGTAGATACCACAGTGCTATTTTGTGTGGCAACAGAAAGTATTCTGAGAGAACAAAACCCAGAACGGGATGAAAACGGATGTAACTCATTATGTGGTCAGTACTTGCACTTTCAGGTACATAAACTAAATCCAATGAAAGAAACCTCACTTATATTTTGTGTGGCCCTTTTTAAGAAAAATCACCAATCACTGTGGACTGAACGGGAACAGATGGGATGCAGCTTTAACAGGTTGCTATACATTAGCTGAGAGAGAAAAGAATAAAAAGACTTGATTTTAATCAGAGCACTAAACCAACTCAGAAACTTTACAGCACAACAGAAGGCAGAAGAGATAACCTATAATCCTCTGCTGCGTGCTAGGAAGAAGGGAAAAACAGGTTTAGATGGAAGCTGTTTGAGCTCTCAGATTTGGCGAAGAGAAAAAAATAAAGGGATGTCCTATGGCAGATGTTTTAAGATAGCAAAAGTGCAGTAGAAGGGTTTGATGGACTTCCAGTAATTTTGTTGAGCTGCAGGGATACGAGTTTCTTCCACTGAAGGCATACCGAGGAATGTATACAGACAAGACATATATAAAGAGAAGTGACGACAAGGACTGAAGTTCCCTATCTCCATTCACAATTCAAATTTTTAATGTTCTTTCTCCTGTTCTTTTCAATGATGTCATAGCCTCAGTTCCTTGACAGTCTGATCACTGCCTTTTTGGAGTTTGCTATTTCCGCAGGATTTTGTGGTATTGCCACTGCACGAAAAAGATGACAAGACCTCTTCAAATGAGTCATAGAAATACAAAGAGCTTTGAACGAGTGCCATTTTCAGGAGCAAACGTTCACAGAAGCCAAACTAAAAGCAGCTCACTTCATGACATACCAGAATTAGGCAGCCTTCAGGCCACTTTGAGCAGATGCAAGCCAGATTATTTCATGCATGACTACAATGTTGCAGTGCATTAGAAAAAAAGCAGCCTAAAACAAGTAATATTTTGTATAACAATGGTGAATTAAGTCACTACTAAAGTGGCAGGCAACAGAGGGAGAGGGAGGAGGGGGGAGAAGAAAAGAGAGAGAGGGAGAAAGCTGTTAAAAAACAATGGTTGAAGTCCCATGTGGGTACCAACTTAGCCTGAAAGGTCACAGAGAATTTTTACACATTTGTTTTGCAAATAGTTTCTGCAAGTAGAAAGGACAGTTGTAACTCTCCCTCTCATCATCAGATTAGCACGTCCTCCTAAGTGCAGCAGTGCTCTCAAACTGGCCAACTGTTCTCCTAACGTGGGTCAAAAGTTCAGACTTTAGCTGGGGCACTGCTGCCAAACGGACCTTTTCCAGTAACGCTCACAGCCCCAAAGCCAACTTTTTAATGAAACAATTATACATACAGATTTCAGTCTCTTCACAGCATCTTCACAGATGTGCATTCCTCTGGATTCATCCACTTCAACATGTCCCAAGTACTGCAGGAAAGAAAGCAGGGGGAGAAAAGCTTAATAGCAGCTCCTTAAATTCCCTGGGTTTTGATAAATCCAAGCACAGCTGAGATGACAGACATTAACAGCACTTTGCCAGCCTTTTTTGAAACCTACGTTTGAAGGTTTGACAGTGGGGGCACTGTCATATGACAGTGGGGGGCATATGGGGCACCAACAGCAGCAGAAAAGCATAATACATCTAGAAATTTTGAGGGGACGACAGACTTTCCTTACCTGGGGGAAAAGATGAAATTGTGAAGTACTGAAAACTGTATTTTCCTGCTTATTCAGCACAAGCTTTAGTAATTTATTTTTTTATTACTAGCATAGCATGAAAACCTTACATCAATACAGAGTTGATGGTGAATAAATTATTTTTACCAATAAATGTATTTAGTATTGAAAACTGAATTACACTACACAGTAAGATAAACAAATAGATTTGAATGTTCATGTCCAAATAAAAGAAATTTGAATGCTGCAAACAGAAAACACCCATCATTATCCCTCCTTTTTTTAAAAATTGTAAACCACAATTGTTTATCTTCATTACAACACCAGGCTGTCATGTGGACACTGAGACACTCACCATACTTACAAAAAGTTGTTTTTTAAAAGAAAACTGTTTTCTGCATATTCAACTTATCAAGCGCTACTTGAAAAAAAAGATCAGCAAAACAACAGTGAATAGAAACTTCAAGTCTCAAACCTTTTAAATTTATAACCCAGAATAATATTAGCCTATAGAGAAAGCAATTGCAAGAAATCCATCAGAGTGTAGTGACCATGGTACTGTGGATACTTTAATTCTGCATTCGGGGGGTGGGGAAGCCCTAACTTTTCCAATTTCCCTACCTTCTCTAATTACAGTTCTCTTTGATAGCAAATGGAAATGTTCTCTGAGAAAAATTCATATGCTTATTCACAGTACTTAACTCTTGAAAAAAACATAGAAACTATTAAAAGCTTTCTGAAGCTTTGAAATAAGATGTATAGATCAAAGAAACTGTCCCCAATTTCTGTGGCATTGTAAGAATTGTATGCAATTCAGCATTTGGATTCTAGGCTACCTAGAGAGTAGTTTAAAATATCAGAATCAATACTTGAGTCACTTAATGCAGCAGTAACCCAGTTTTAATAATCTCTGAAGAAGTCCCACTCCATAACAGAATATTCTGCCATGAGTTATCTGAAATCTCCTAGATGTTGTTTTATTAATTAAGATACCATACTTAGTTAGAAGGTAAAAAAATATTTCACTCTTTAGTACCCTACTGAAGCAGTCTCAGATTAGATTCAACTAAATGGGCAAAATCTAGACTATTTTAGGGACCTAAAAGAAATTGCAAAGTTGATATTTTTTCATACAAAGCAAGATGTTCCAGAAGGGAAGACTCTAAATATCATTAAACTGCTGAAAGATTTAAAGTATCTTACGTGACAAAGGGCCTTAGCATTAAATCTCACTATATGGCAATTTTTTAAACAGAGTTAAATGTGGATTGAACAATTTTGTAAGAATTTCATTTAAATCAGCCCTCACAGCTGGAGAACATCTTGAAAAATAAATTGCATAGAAACTAGAAGGTAAATAAAAAAGATCTGACACACTGAAGCTTTTTCAAAATGAGCTCTGTGAGGCTGCAGCCTTATAATTGAATGCTGGAGCTGCCAAAAGAGCAATGGTACTCCCTCAGCTCAGCTTGCTGAACACTTGCGCAAGAACTTCCTTTCTCCAGAGCACAAACTAGAATGTTTTAATCCCAATAATATACAAATAGTAACAGCTAAAGATACAATTACTGTGCTTCTGGAAGTACATATTTATATCAACGGGTATCGTAGCTGGATCTTTGGTTGTTCCATGACTCCTCTGGAAGTTCTAGAAATGCAGAAATTCTGTTGCTGTACCTATTAGTCATGAGAAAGTTTGGGGTTTAGTAACTTCTCTTTAAAAGGAGACAGACACAGACAGGAATGAGGCTGAGGTCTACAACAATTACTGTGCTTCTGGAAGTACATATTTATATCAACGGGTATCGTAGCTGGATCTTTGGTTGTTCCATGACTCCTCTGGAAGTTCTAGAAATGCAGAAATTCTGTTGCTGTACCTATTAGTCATGAGAAAGTTTGGGGTTTAGTAACTTCTCTTTAAAAGGAGACAGACACAGACAGGAATGAGGCTGAGGTCTACACTGGACAGAACCTGTATGTTTGTAGGGAATGATCCATGTAGCTTGCATGACCATTAAGGATCATCCAAGCAGAGGACAACTTTCAGATCTCCTGATCTATTTGCACATGTAATTTTCTCCAGTGTAGCCAAAATATTTCCAACTGAAGATCCTAACCATTCGGAGCCTATACTTGGCAACCTGCCTTTTGCTTAGAAATGGGAGAAACAGAGCAGGGTAAATATTGCCTCATGTCACACTCCAAAACAGACAACCATTTGCCCGTGTCGCCAAACCTCTATTCAAGTCTCATGCTCCAACTTTCAGCAACCAGTCATGCCACTGCTGCTGGAGACAGCAAGTTTAGCTGCAGTTTTCAATACTGCTTCCACTCCAGTGAATGAGTACATTATTACACATATCAAGTGCATCTACCCACACCAAAAGGATATAATCCACAGACCTCTTAGAGCATCAATCAATTCTGAATTATAAAAGAAATTACACTGCCACACAATACTTCTTTATGACATAGAGGACAAAAGGTGCTTTGTTTGCATTTACACATTACACTTTTAGCCCTTCATCAAAAAAACCTTGTTCTTCCCATTGCACCATTTTTGCAGAAACCAGAAACGCATTGCTATCAGTATCAATGGCCTTGTACATTTTACTGACAATTTTCTGCTTTGGTTTTTTCTCTCTTTCTGGAATGGTGGCGGTGTGTTAATTCCTTGTACATGCCAACCAACATATTTTTAAGTTTCTTTCTTGTAAAAATAAATTTAAGCTGTATAATCAGAATGCTGTGGTCCTCTTTTTCAGAGAAGTGTCCCTTGTGCAGCAGATCCCCTTCCAAGGCTTCGAACGTATTTCTAAAAATGTTTTTCTCCTGCCAGGCTGAGAGTAGATATACCTGGCTCCTGTATTTAACCAGTGCTACAACAGTTATCTGGCTTGTAATGGGTAGTAATCAAAGACAAGTATTTCTTCAAGAAAACTGGCAAAAAGCTCAGCTGCAGACTGAGAACTTTCCTAGTATGCTTGCATTTTAAACAAGAGTGTTGTAATTGTATCACAACCTAGCTTTAAATTTGAAATATTGGTTCAACTTAGTGCAACAGCATTTTATGGGTGACATTTCAAAATTTAATAAAGAAAATACAGCTGCTAGTTAGACTCTGAAATGGGAGTTAAACACCAGAATTCAGGACTTAAGAAAAATAAGCCATCATTAAACTCTGTTGTCCTCCAGCAGGAAAGAGATTACATGGAAACCACTTTAAAAAGCAGATACACAAACCTCACACTTCTATACACAACCTTTCAGAATCTCTGAAAGGAACTTCCCTCTCGAAGTGAAGGAAAAGGAACACAACTGTTGAAGTGCCTGGGCAGGGACTTGTCCTACATAAGTAAAATCTCTTGCAAATCCATGACAGCACATTACCACAAACACACTCAAGGACTGGGACACATAACTACTGGGTACACAAAAATCCGTATGAACTGCGTAAGCCTTACTGTGGTAGAGGATGACTTTGCAGAACAGTGAGGAAAGCAGAACCCTGGACACATTTGCAAAGAGCCCTTCTTGTCACAGGGATCGCTGCAGCTAACATTCCTGGAGAAAGTGAGTACTT